ATTACGCCTTGACGGGCAGCTTACCGGAAACGAAAGTTTTTCGGTTCCGGGGGAAGTATGGTCCCTAAGCCTAAGCCTAAGCCTAAGCCTAAGCCTAAGCCTAAGTAAGCCTAAGCCTAAGTATATTTGAGAAGGAGAAATATTTATGTTATAAAATGTCGATTTGTGCTATCATTGTTGGTTCAGTATTGCTATAAAATTTCACATAGTTGTTAATGATTGCTACTTAACGAATTCAAAAAGACCAAATAAATGACCTTGTTTCCTTCTTTTGAAAAACACTAAAATCGCTTTGACCGTATTAAATCCACCATGATGTCAATTTTGTTTATAATCATGACCAGCCATTCAAACTTTTCTTTTCTATTAATAGCCTATTATTTTATATTTTTTTAAACAATTTTTAGTTTCCGGACTTTTTTTATATGAAATTTATATAATTAATAAATAATCTTGTAGTTATCAATGTTCTCGCAGTTCCTCTTTTCTGAACTTTTCCCAAAGCATTCAATTCATTTTGTAGCAGAAGATCACGAAAATTGTTTTATAAAGTTGTTTTGTTTTATTTTTATAAAGCTTCTCCTTAAATGAATAATTGACTTTAAAATCTATATAAAATCTATGCAAAATTTTCTTTTTGTATTTAGAGAGAAAAAGAATTAATTCCGGCAAGACAACCAAATATTGTTTTGGCTAAAAACGAGTCAGTAAAACCAAACTATAAATGATGCTTATTGCCGACTTTTTAGCAAAAAAAAGCAAAATTTTCGATTTTAAGATATAATTAATGACTAGTTAAAAAATTATTTACAATAGTGCCAAAAAACCGTTTAAATAAATAACAATAGCACCGTTTAAATAAATAACAATCGTTTTCAAGCAATAATTCAGAGTTAATGAGTTAATTTAAATTTATGCCATCAAACTATCTTTTCCATTCTTCATAAGTACTTATTTCATAGTGATTTTGCCGCGCCTTCTTTATACATATACACTAATTTGCCAATCAATTAGGCCCGTTGCAGCCGATTGAGGAAGGTCCATATTACCCATGTGGAGTGAGGTACAAGCGCTTTATAAAATCTTGTTTTCACATTATTTAAATTATTTTAAAAAGGAAAAATTTGGTTATTTTCGGGTAGTGATCTTCTCTAGAGAAATAAAGTATTGTTTTAGACAGAAAAAGAATGGTAAGAATGTTGGTGAAAACAAGAATAAAATCGACAACATATCCCATTAAATTATGAAAAAAATCAGAAACGAATGATAAGAATATAGAAAAGTGAAAAAAAACATAAAATTTAGGGAAAACTTCACGGAAAAACCAGTAATAAAATATATCAGGCAAAATCGATTCAGAGATTTATTGAAATATTAATAAAAAGATAATTAAAAATTAAAATAAGAAACGCAAATAAATATTAAATACTTACAGAATATTTATTACCTGATAAATAAAATAGTTACAAAAATAATTAAAATATTTAAGGAATATATTTGTGAAATATTTGAAGATGATGATGAAACTCGTTTGTAAGGACTTGCCTCCATATCTAATGTCGATAATTCATAATCTTTTGTACGTAATTTACCTGGAAATTTAAAATTGCATGAAAAATGATCAGTTCTTAGGTTTTTTTGAATAATCAATTGATTATGATAAGGTCTAATGACTTCAATTCAAAAAACTTTCAGTTTTATACTCGTTTAGGGAAATATGCTAATATCAATTGATTGACTAGGTAGCTGCATTTAAAAAAATTTTGAAAGAAGAAATTTTACGAAACTCACTAAAATAGCACTTCTCAATATTCATGTCTGCTATAAGACGGCCCATCGTGGTGTATCCTGTGGTGAGCGGTTCTTCAAGAATGCAAAGTTTGCCATATTCTGCGTCAGGTTTCAAATTGGAGAAATTTACATCTAAATCGACTGGCTCACCAAAAATAAAAGTTTGTGCGGGAGGCAATGATCCACTACCATCTCTCAACGAAACAGTCACTCTGCAAATAATTTTTATGTTTATAATGATTATCACTGGATATTTGGATTTGTCACTATAGCAAATTCAATTTTTTCGCGGCATTGATATGAAATTAACCGTATATGGAAGTCGACTAAGGATCGAATTCGAAATTGCATCGTTGAAGACGATATATCAATTATTTCAACATCTGAAATACTTGTTTCCGCATTCTTGCCAAATCGATCTAACGTTCGTAATGTTCGACAGTCTGTTCCAGTTGATTCGTTATGTCGATTGAAATTCTCCCATTCAATACAAATATAGTACCATTGTCTTTCTTGAAGATCTGATATACTCACCTTAAATTTTATAATCATTTTTCTAGTTATAATTATAATGGTCATTATCTAATCTGATAAAAGAGGATATAATCAAAGTTAGAGAGTAGAGAAATTCAGAGGTTGAGTAAGTATCATGGGTTCGATTTCTATCGCTTATCGTTAAGAACAGAATAATTCTAACGGTCCAAATGTTCTTCTCCCATCTCTCTGTTATTCTCCGACGAAAGATTAACGAAAAATCTATTGAACCAGGTGAACCAGAAATAATGAGCGTTGTTTGGAAAAGAAAGTAAAAAAACTGAGAAACAAATATAAGATATAATATACTTTATCCAACTTACTTGTTTATCTTCACGAATATTATCCGGGTAAACTACTTTAATCGCTGGTTTTTCATCGGATTTCAATGGTATAGCGGATAAAAAAAGAGTGGGAATCTGAATTGGTGCCAAATAGGTTTCTAGAAAAGAATCAAGCAATACTATACGAAAGCCATGTTTTGTCGCATCCACAAAATTTATTGCTCTGAATAATTTTTATTCTTATTACCAAAAAATAATGCAAAAAATAGAAATAATAGGCAGTAAGAAACAGAAATTAATATTAGCAACTTTATAAAAAAATCAATTATCAATTTTAAATTGTGAAAAATTAACTAGTCGATTATTTGTACTTTAATAAAAAATTATTTGTTTTCAAAATAAATATTTATTTTTAATATAATTTGCATATTTTTTGATGGTATTTTTTTATAATCATTAATTGTGTAATTTACAAAATTATTTATTTTAAAAAATTGAAAAATTGATCTTTTTTAAATAAAATTGAAAATTATTCAAACCAATCCTTGATTTGAATAAATAATTTGAAGTAAAAAGTAAAAGTTTAAAAAATAAATTTGCTCCAAATAAAAATGAAATGAATAATTACAAATCAGTGAATTAATTTAGTTTATTTAGTAAATTAATTTAATTTATTTATCGAAAATTATTTAGACCAGAATTTAGAATTATTTAGACTAATTCTTATTTAAATTTAATGAAACATCAAAGATTTTTAAAAAGTACGAATTTTATTATTTAAAATGAATAAAAGTACGAATAAATAAAAGTTAACAAATTATTAGTTAATTTGATAATATTTAAAATGTCTTAATTTTTTCTTCTTTTTGGTTATCTGAAAGAAAAAAAAATTTTTTTACTAACTTTGTATTCACAAAAAATCGTTGATATTTTGGATTACAGCATACTGTTGTTAATAGAATCGTCAAAATAATCAAAAAAATTTTCCCACAACGATAATTCATTTTCAGCATCATCATAGCTCGGAAGTAGAAAAAATTAAAATACGAAAGCAATATGCAATTATGCGAAAATGTGTCGTATTGCAGTAATTCAATGACTTAGGCGGTACAAATCACTTGCCACTTCAAATTACTTATAAATTATGCGCTTTAATGATGAATGGCAATAGGTCAATATTCTTACAAAAGAGAAATTTTGGAAAATTAATCGAGAAGCGGCGATAGATCCAGATTTGTTTATGATAAAAGGATAAATTGAATATGATAAATATCTGAAAATTATTCATTATCTCATGATTATCTCATTTTAAGCAAGTATAAATGTTGAAATTTGAAATTTGATAAGATTTTCAAATTAACGAACCAATTTAGAATCCTTTAAAATGCCTTAAGAAGTCTTAAATGAAATTTAAATTTCTATTTAATATATAATTTTTGTTATATATAATTTTTAATGTATAATTTCTATTTAATATATAAAAGAAATGAAACAAAAATAAAAAATCTAATTACAAGCAATAAAAAATATTTCAACATAAAATGAATAAATATAAGAACGGTGCAAATAAACAATTTTATTTCAATTAGTACTAGATGAAGTATATTTTCTAAAATGCCCTAAGTAAGAAACATATTTTCCTTTTTTCGTCGAACTGATGTTCGTACCAAGTACATGGTATGAGGACGGGGTTTTTAACATATGCAATCCCTGCAGAGATAGGTCTTTGAATTCTTCTAGGACCAGAGATTTGTTTGCAAAATAAGATAAACCGCTGAAGATGCTCGCAAACCCGTTGGCCTATAATAGCGAATATGAGATTAACGGTGGCCCTACAGGGAGTGGAAAAGAGATTTTTATTTTTATATAATCTAATAAATAAATTATTTTGACAGCGATCAGATCAGTATTTCTGGTTAAGCTCATTCCGTTAGGTTGTGAGGTCAAAAACTTGTCTCTTTGCCAGGAATTTAGCTGGCGATAGAAGTAGAGGTGAATCACCAGTACCATCCGGATTTTTCTAAAGACCAGTTTACTCCTACCGTGAGCAGAATTCAGCATCAGCGCGTCAATATTGAAAGCAACAACCCATTAAGCCACTCTAATCCCTTTGTTTGCTTTGTTATCATTTGAATAATTCGCTTTTTTTTATTTATATTTTATGAAAAAACCATAGTATCTTGTGAGAAATAATTATTTATAATTCATTCATAAAATACTTTTTTTAAATACTTTTTTTAAAAATAAAATTTAACAGATTTTCATTATCTTATGAAAAAATTATGTACATTTATGCATAAAAAATCAATGTCTGACAAACCATTATCAGTAAAAATCTCGAAATTGAATTTTTATCATTTGCCCTTCATTTACTTAATTTTTTATGATGATCTATAATAATGCATATATATATACATAAATGAAAAATGAAAAACAAACCTAAAAATCTAACAATTCAAGTAAAAATCTGACAAATTTCTAAAACAATTTCTTTATTTTGTTTCTCATTGTTTATCGCTTCTTTAATTTCATATTTAGATTTTCTCTATGAATTTTAAATATAAAAATAAAAAATATAATGAAAGACAAAAATAAAAACACAACAAAAATTAGGTAATAAATAAGTAAAATGAAGTTAGATTTATTGGTCTTTTAAAGAGATTTTTAATGAAAACAATGGAGGTTTTGACTTTATCTTATAATTTCCGCTCTATTAGAGATAATGATAATGATATGTTCACTTTCAAACTAATAAATAAATAAAATATTACCCAAAATTGAAAAAGGAAAAATCAAGGATTTACAGTGATTTATTACACTTAAAATTCCTTTTAATCCTATTCCACGCAAAGAATGAATGGTTCATCAATTAAATAAGCACTTCTATTGGATTATCAATGAATGGTTGTAAATTTTGGGATCACTTACAACATTAATCCGATTAACACAAATGAGATTCGTCTAATTTTCAGCATTTTAAAGTAGCATTTTATAAATTCAGACAATAAATATATAAACAAAGTTAAAAAGTATGAACAAAAAATAAATAAATATTAATAATAATTAGCAATATTGGAGATAAATAAAAATAATGGAATAGGAAAGGAAACCGTTGATCAATTATAGAATTTTATGATCTTGATAAATTGATCTATACGCAGATCGTTAATAGTGCAAATAGTTGATCAGCTTTTCTCATGAATCTAACCATTAACCTCAGTTCTTTACTTAATATGCGAATACTACTGAATTATAACGACAAATAGGTTACCAATTTATAAATTTGTTTTACAGAATTATAAGAACTTGCTAAAATTTTTCAACCAAATTCTTCTATTCGAAAAAAGGAAAAGGGAAAGAAAAATTTGAAGAACACGAAAAAAAGTTCGGTATAAGTTGATTTAATAAGTTTAAAATAAGTAATAAGTAATATAAGTAATATAATAAGTTAAGTTTACAAGTTTACTTTCGATTAGTGATGACAAACGAGGGTTACAATAGTCCTCGACAAATTTTTTTGTCTTTCATTAATTTTACTTTAAAAAATAAAAGCGATGAATATAAATTGACTTCTTAACGATTAATAACGAATAAAAAGTTGCAAATGGCTGATATCGCAGCAACAAATGAATATTTTAATATATGAATCTCGTTCAATTGGCTTGCTTGCTTACTATAGAAGCATTCGAATTAAAAATGGGTCATCAGCATTATTCAGATTTTTTATTAAAACATTAAATTTCAATTTCATTCAATAACTTAAATTAGAAAGAAAATTTGAATTCTATGAACTCTACTTGGAAGTTTGACCGAATTTGATTCTAATTATATAATACAGTAATAATATATAATACAGTAATAATACAATATAATAAATACATAATCTATAAATTTTTCATCTAAATTTTTTTTCTAATAATATAATATAATATAATATAGTATAATATAATATAAGATAATATAATATAATATAATATAATATAATATAATATAATATAATATAATATAATATAATACAATATAATATAATTAAATGCAAAAATTGTATTAATACGAGAACTCAACGAAAAAATTAAAGTTTTTAAGTTATCATTATGAATCATATCACAGCTTTTTTATTTCAAATTAGGATTTACATGCAAACAAGAAGTAAGGCTTAATTGCTTGCCTGACCCTAAAGAAAAAAGAAGAGATATGGAATGTGATTTACATCCGTTTAGAAAACGAGGACTATAACTTTAGGCGAGTTTGCTTTCCAGCTGAACTGGAATAACCTTTCCTGCATTAAATTTGCCTTAGCATCAAAAAATATTTTAGTATGAATATTGTTGACTTAAATGCTCGCTAGATTCAACTACAACACAAAATAAAAAACAAATCATTGAGTTGCCACTGCGATCACATCATCTAATGCTTTAAATTCCACTGAATTAAAGAATTTTCGTACAATTAGTATGTTTGATATGATCGATCCTGTTCGATATTACCTTTTTCATTTTTTTCATCTATTCTTTAAAAAAATAATTTTTTCTACAATTTTCTTTAAAAAATGCGAAGATATTACCTAATAAAAATTGTTACAGATAAATCTTTGCTTTTAATATTACATAATATTATTACATAAAAAATTTATTGTTATCTATTATATTGTTATTGATTTAACAATTAATTATATTAACTATTATATTATATTATATTATATTATATTATATTATATTATATTATATTATATTATATTATATTAATTTTAACGAATTTTTCTTCTCCTTAACTTTTTAAATAAATAATAAACCTTTTTCTATTTTGTTGAGAACATAAAAAAATTTAAAAGATATTTGCACATGAAACATGATAAACGAAAATTTAAACCGAATACCAATTTTTATTTTATTTTTTTCTTTGATGCTTGGTAATATATTTAATAGGAAATGATAGTCAAAGTATCTGCGAATTGCTAATTCAACTAAACCGGTCGTCGGCCACCACTATTATTTATTCTTTTCACATCGTTGACCTTCTTACATTCATTAGCACTTAATTTTGTAGTTTCAAATATTTTGTTCACGCAATTCTCAATATTCGTCACTATTCTTATGTTTTACTATTATCAAAAACTATTAGTTATTGCTGATTTTTTTATGAACCATCATTTTTTTGGCTTTTATTCTGCTGCTTGTTGAGGTTATGTACCAGTTGATCATCGAATTTATATAAATATTTTAGGCGACATATTTGCAGCAATCATGTATTATATGACTTCAAAAGAAAGCGAATTCTAACTTTTAAATATAAACAAATTGTGAAAGGAAAATCAGACCAATTTTTTTAAAAATTAGGCAAAATTTAGAAAACATGATGGAATAAGACAGCTGTCTCGAAAAGGCGAAAGCTAGTCCTAAAAAAGAAAAATATATATATTCGAATTAGCAGTCTATCTTATCAATAATTATAGTGGGATAAAGACTACAATGAGGAAATTGATAAAGCAATTTTTACCAGGTTCAGAGGAATGCGTTATTTATTAGCATGCCGATAGGAAATTATTAAAAAGGATTCAAAAAAAAATTATACAATAATATGGTATCGATAACTTAGAAAGCAAGCTGGATAGGAATCAATGGACTAGGAAAAGAAGAAGCTTTCGATGTTGTTATCAAAAATTCCCGTGAGCGAAGCCCAAAAGACTGGAGGCAGATCATTCTCAAAAATAGTTTTTTTGATTTGGAATTTTCGCGATAGTTCAGATAATATTGTCAACAGTACAATAATGCTTAATGATAAACATATCAAAAATTTCAAACGTAGAATATATGAAACATTACATTACTGATATCATCAATATATGTGGAATACAGAAAGAATCATGTAAAATAATCTTATTTCCATATCTTAAGATTTAGATCATTGATGGGGATAGAATGGCTCAGAGGGTTGTTGCTCAAATGGGAGCAACGATGCTAAGGTTCGATTCCTCGCAGGAGCAAGCCTGTATCCGGTGATGGTGGTGAGTTACCTATAT